TCAAACTGTGGTTCTTCATGCTTTCCAGCTGCTGCTCTGTCTTTTCCGCTTTTGGTGCCCCTTCATAGAAGCTGCTGTGCTTCAGATTGATTTTCATTTATTTTTACAATTCAGGTATGCAAACTACATAATGTTTACTCTGACTCCGAGATGTCTGAGTTCTCTCATCTATGGACTTAGGGATGAAACATTTGTTCTTGCATTGAAAAATTACATCTGCTTTAGTTTGTTTCAAAGAAACAATTTCTCATGAGTTGCCTCATAGAAAAGTGCTTCCCCTTTTTTCATCTGTGTAGAGAGCTTCATATTGTCAAATACGGAGTCTGTGAGATCAACAGAGGCTAAAAGAGTTCATCTAAATTACATAATTTGATAAACTGTAAAAGAAACTAGTTGAAAAGTCTGGTTGCCAAATTGGTCTGAATATGCTAAAAACAGTTTACTGTGCAAATTTGATAAGCTTTTCTATTTACATCTCCATAAAGAATAAAAATTGGGGTCTTAAAGAGAATAATATGAAGGAAATAGACATAAAAAAGTTTGTATGCACATCTGATAACAGAGTTTATATACTGTAATACTAAGACATTAGTACTGTCAAAAAATAAAAAAAAGTATGTCAGAATCAAGAACAGCTCAAAAACACAGAACAATAACATGTAGTTTAAATAGATAGCTTATGTAAGCCTTTAAGTCCTAGGCTAGGTGTTTCAAACCAAACTGACAAATGAAAAAGGAAAGGAAAGGAATCCAGTAGCTCCAGTTCAACACAAGAGGGAGGAGCAGAGCAGGAGGAGGGGACAGTCTTTAGAGCCTGTGTTTGCAAGTAGAAACGGAAAATGATTAGTCCTTTCCTGTCGCAGCAAGAGTTTAAGGATTTTAAGATTTTTTGAAGAATGACGTTGTTGTGTGTTGCATTATGTTAGAGGACATGAACCCACAAGTTAAACCCTGACTGTTGGTTTGTTTTAGATAATGAATACATTCAGATCTTTTTATTTCGAAGCATTTGTGACAAGACTGCTTTAAAACCTGCCCAGGGCATGCTCAGAGTAGGGTACTGCTGAACCAAAAGAAACCTGCTGTATAACTTTGCTGGATCCTTTTTGTTAATTAATTGACATAGCATCAAGTGGATTTTCATTCATGTAACTTGATTTGGTTATGCTTGGATAATATTATACTGTTATTGAAAGTATCAGAATTAAAACAGAATTAAAAATGAATTATCTACTCAGATTAATTAAATTGTTTCCATTAAATCCAATGTCAGTTTTTTAATGTTTTCAAATTACTGATGATAAGATAGCTCATCTATTTATATGTTTTAAACTCTTTGTTTAAATAGGGTCAAGCAATTTAGTTATGGGTGAAAATATAGATCAAAAAGTCACCCTCACAGGTCAGGTTAGAAAGTGGCCATTTTCCTTTAGTGTGATTTTCATATTGATCCTTTCCAGACAAAAATGTTCTTGAAATTCAAAATAGAATGAAAAAGCAACTATACCTAGAGAAAAACTTATATATTCAATCAAGTGCACATGAACTTGTTTTCCTTTTTTATTTTTTCACTTTAACAATAATAAACAACAACACACAAAACAGTTTTATAAAAAATAGAACATCTTAGGTACAACAATATGTCATTTAATCACCGCGCTGTCATGTCATTAAACAATTAGTTGAGCTTCATAAATCAAATAAATACTTTTAAATAGTGCTACAATAGTAAATTATTTCAAAGTGCTATCAAGTTGATTTCCTTTTCAAAATGAGATGTTCTCTCTGTACATGCAAATATGAACAATTTCACATATTTTTTAATGACAGACGGTAAAATGGGACAACAAGCGCTGTTGATTGGTCAAAGTTTTCAACTGAAAACAATTCGGCGCGTTCTGCAGCGTGTTCTTCTGGTTCTCCTAGTCCTCTCGTAAATACGCCTCATGCACCTCATGCTCATCACTGTCCTCTAGGAAAGCAGCATATTCTGCCATCCTCTGGATCTCGTCCACTTTCGTCTCGGCCAGCTTCTTTTCGGCCGCTGCTGACATCTTCTTTGCCTCCTTCACCTGCGCCTGGGCCAGCTGAATGCTGGTCTTAATGGAGATGTTTGCCTGTTCGGCTCCTGCAAACACATAGGTTCAAATACATCATTAGTTATATTTCGGACACTCGTTCCTTTAAGTAAAAAAAAACTAAACAAATAAACTGCACATTTCACAACAATTCTGAGCCTACGCACATCCATACAGCTGCACACTTTGACCCACCTGTGTTGCACGCTGCCTCGGCTGCCATTTTGCACAGGTCGATGGCATTGACCCACAGGGACTCGTAACGTTTGCACTCAGCCAGTCTCTC